AAATCAAGAAGGTAATGGAGGGAATGGATATGATTGAAATTCAGTATTTTATTACACTAATAGGCAATAATAAGGGACAGTGAGATAGCCCAGCAAACTAAGCACCTGCTTAGGCAAGCATAGGGACCGAGGTTCAATCCCCGGCACCACATGCCCCACTGGCCCCATTCCTGGGCACACTGAGCCAGTGACTGAGTCCGGGCATGGTGGTGCATGCCTGTAATCCCAGTGCTGGGGAGGCTGAAAACAGGAGGATCACTAGGAGTCTGAGCTGCATAGTGAGTCCCTATACCAAATACATAAATAAAAAAAGTAGGCACTAATAAAAAGAAAAAGATTAATTAAATTATTGACTTTCTGGAAAACTTAGGAACCAGGCACCATGCCAGTAGAAAATATACCTGTAACCAAAGTGAACAAGGTCTTTTCCTTAGTGAATTTACATTGTACTTGAAGACTAGTGACAGGCAACCAGGGAGATGGCTTGAGGGACTGGAATACAGACATGTCATAAGCAACTATGACAACCTAATAATCTACAATCTAATAATATCTAAAAGAACATGGAATTGTTAGGATATATAGGAGGAGTGTTCAGCCCAATCATTCTGGACAGAGGTCAAAACTGAGGCTTAAAGGATGAACAAGAATTGAATAAAAAGATAGTAAAAACAAACCCTAAGATAGAGACATAAGGGACAGTAGCATGGTAAATTAAAGAAACTGAAAATAGTATAGGCTTGCTGCAACCCAGAGTACAGGCGACAGGCATAGGTTGAGACAAGACAGAAAAGTCTGGCAGATGCCTGATCACAGAAGGCTTGCTAAAGAGTCTGAACCAGTGGAATGACAGGATCAGACTTGCTTTGTATAAAAACCATTCCAGCTACAGTGTGGTGCACGGATTAGAGAAGGCAAGGCTGAAGGGCTATGGAGGAATTCAAGCAAGGTGTGCTCTAACAGGGTCCTAAAAGAAGAGTAACAGACAGAACTGGACAAATGCAAGACTAGTGACAAGACCCAGAACTGATATTCTAGTCTGACTGTGGGGACTGAGGAAAAGAGGAGTTAAAGCAAAGGTCCAAGATTTTAGGCAGCATATTCTCAGAGACAGAAAACAGAAACAGAAGCATCCCTACGGAAGGAGTGGGCAAATGACTGAGTTTAATTTTGAACCTATTGCATGATTAGATAGCCAGCAGGATGCGCTGGTAAAAATCTCAAGTTCTAAATTGAGTCAGAAAAAGAATATGTATATTTAAGAGTTAAAAGCATAACAATACTAACTAAAACTATGGAAGTGGATGTAACCAATTTGGGGAGAATAATTAGAATGAGAAAAAAAGACTTAAAATTCCTGAGTAAGATCAAAACAAGAACAGCAGAGAAAGAAAAGGAAAAATAAAAAAACCCCAAAAGTGAGAGAGACCACGTAAAGAAGGTATTTCAAGAAAGAATAAGGGCCGGCCCATAGCTCAGGGGACTAAAGTGCCTGCTTAGGCAGAGGCCAGGGTCCTTCCAGTTTGCTTCCCCAGGGCACATGGAGATAGTGATTGAGACTGGGCATGGTGGCACATGCCTGTAATTCCAGCACTTGGGAGGCTGAAGGAGAATCACCATGAGTCTGATCTACATAGTGAGACCCTGTAGACCCTGTCCTTAATACAGACAAAGAAAAAAAAAAAGAAAGAAAGAAACAATAGTTATCAATTACATGCTTCTCAAATATGTGCAGAATGACTGCTGCTGGTCTTCAGTAGAGTGGCAGCAATTCTGCCTCTCTCTTCAAGGCAGTTTCCCCTCTCTTTTAAGGTACTGAAAATGTGTGTAATGTCATTTCCCACTTCTCTACAACTAGGTCCTTTGGATTTTATTGCCAACATTTTCTCATACGATCTCAGTAGTGCCTCCAAACCTGTCACCCATAATAATCACCAATTTCTGTTCATTTTGTTTTTACAGGATTTTCACAACTTTTCTTCCCTTTCCTCCTGTTATCACTATCGTAACCAGGTTCTATGTACCCCACAAGTGGACAACTAGAATGTACTAGACTCCCAACGCATTCTGTCTCTTAGCTCTTCTCCAGGACAATTCTTGTCACACAGAAAAACCATATTATTTATCCTAAAATTTTAACTTTGGCCACACTACTCCACTGCTGAAAATTCTTCAGTGACCTGATATAATCATTGGCTCAAAAATTTCATTCTTTTCCTCTCTCTGGGGTGCTGGGAATGGGACCCAGGACTATGACACATGCCAGCTAAGTGCTCTACCACTAACCTACACCCCCAGCACTAAAAATTGTCAGTATTTTATTGAATGTTTATATCCAGTGTTTCTCAAATTATCTATGCTAAAGTCCAATTGTTTACTTTGAAATTTTCAACCTATTACAATATGTTTTGTTTGTTTGGGAGGATTTTTTTTGAGACATCATCTTGCTATGTAGTTCAGGCTGACCTTGAACTCACTATATAGCCCTGGGTGGCCTCAAACTCTTGAACTCACAGCGATCTTCCTGCCTCAGCTTCCTCAGTGCTGGGAATTAGGCATATACTACCATGCCTGGCCACAATATTTTTTATAAAATACAGTTTTAAAACATCATGGCAATGTTAAATTGCTATAAAATTTCTAAATATTTACTCTCTAATATGTATCTTATCATGGACTGGTAACAGTGTTCATGGTCCCACAATGGTCTGCAAACCACGTTCTAAACAGCCCTAATGTTAGTAATACATATGTAGGCGATACTGAGCAGTGGCTCTCAATGTAGGATGACTTCACTACCTGGGGAGTGTAGTCACATGGGGCTGCAGGGGGTGGGGGACTCTCCCAGTATTGAGCAGACAGAAGTAGAGGTACTGCTAAATATTCTGTGATATACAGGTCAGCCCCCACAACAAGTTACCCAGACCAAAATATCCACAGCGCCAAGCTTGAGAAATCTTACAAGTATAATACAAATGAATATAACACATTAAGAAGTATGTAATATCCAGATTTTAAGCACATAGTATAGAGAAAGCACAGAGAATCACCCAAGTCGGTCCAAAATGTTAAATAGGAGTACAAAAGAAAGTATCTCCTGATTCACAGATTTCTACAACTGAACCCCACCATGCTGTTGGGTCTTATTTCTTACTTCTTCCCAACATTAAGGCTGCTTCACTGGTCTACACTGTAAACTCTACACTACTGCTCTTGCCAGGATACAGTACCTACAACCATTGCTTTCTTTCTCCCAACCCAAAACCATTTAGCATTGAAGGCATCACTCAAGCTCTCTCTCCTCCATGACTTATCCATGCGACTCAGTTGAAATGTAATTGCACACAGGCTTTGGATACCATTTGTTGGCTTATGCTGTTTCACTTTTAAGTGGCTCGTAACATGTATATTTCACCACTAGGTCGACAGTCCACTTAAGACAAAGCTTCTGACACACCCACAACAACCACTTTCTTTCCACATTATGCTTTCTCAGTGGTAAAAACACACGAGAAAGTAGCATTATACTCCTAGCATCAACTTTTCAAGTCTCTTACACTCAAGACAATTTGAGTATATCAGATAACTTACAAATTAGTCTGTTTACAATGAACAAGATAGCCTCTGTGCCAAATCAGGCTCAACATGTCAACAGTGCAATGGTTGAAAACTCCTTGGCTAAATTAAAGGCTGCCTCAAAGACCTGCAAGTTCACCAAACATCAGGCCGAGGATACCTTCTCCAATGGTTTCACAAGATAAACTTTTGTGAGAGAACATTAGTACATTAGTGAAGCGTGGTCTCTAAGGCCAGCTTGCCTGGGACTTTCTAACTATGGGTCTTGGATGATTACTCAGGACTCAGTTTCCTTCTCTATAAAATTGGCTCATAAGTCTGTTGCCAGGATCAAATAAATCAATATACAAAATAGTATTAGGTAAAGTACTTAGAATAGTGTTTCACACTCTACAAGTACTTGCTATCATCATCATTATCATCACCCATGTAAACATAAGTGTAAAAGAGGAGAAATACCTTTTTACTCTAGGTGTCACAGGAGTAATGGTTCTTAAAATTTTATTTATTATTTATTTATTTGTTGATACAGGGTCTCACTACACAATTTGGACTCGTAGTGATCCTCCTGCCTCAGCCTCCCTAGTGCTGGGATTATAGATGTATGCCACTACACCAGCTTTTGGGGGCAGCATGGCAGGCAGTACCAGGTATCAAACTTGGCACCTTGCCCTTGCCAGGCAGGCACCAAGCTATCTCCCCAGCCTAATAACATGGTTTTTGAAGACCAAAACCAAATTTGTGCAGTTTCTCATATGTCAGAAAGTCTGTTCTTAATCAAGTCATCCTTTCTGTCACACCTGTAATGTTTCCTCAGCTACCTCAAGGTCTAGATGCACATGTTCCCACATTTGGCTATGCCTAGTACTATAATGCAGGAAGTACTGGAGCAAGCAGTTTGTTACCTTGCTAAGAAACTGTTTTCTCTTTGTAAGAAAGTAGGACAGGTACCCCTGCCTTTACTCAGTCAGGGGCTGGCATCAAAGACCACAGAATCCCTGCTCATAACTCTATGCTCTTCTCCTCCACAGAAAGCTTCAGGAAGACAGGAGTCGTATCTGCCTGCTTCTGCACTGATGGTTGCCCTGAGAGAAAAACAACCTTTGACATCTTTTTGTTTGTTTGCTTAAAATTACACAAAAGAGATATAAGATCATGATAAAACATACAGGCAAAGATAAAGGAAAAGAACAAGTCTTCCTTTGTTTTTCACAAATGGAAATATTGTTTTGAACTTAATCTATCCTCAGAGACAGGCACTTATGTTGTTGAGCTATGCCCCCAGCCACCCCCTCTTTTTTTTTTTAATCAGTAAATTGTGTGTTTTATTTTATTTTTTATTTATTTATTTGTTTTTTGAGGAAGGGTCTACAGGGTGTTCAGGGTCTTACTACTAGATCCCACTCATAGCGATTCTCATGTTTACAGCCTCCTAAGTGCTGGGATCATAGGTTCGTGCCACCACGCCCAGTCTCAATGCACCCCCCAGGGGGCGGGGCCAGCAGGGCAGGACCAGGGAACGAACCCCCAGCCCCTGTGCCTGCTTGCAGGCGTTTTAATCCGCTGAGCTATTTGTCCGGCTCCTATATCTGCACTTTGGAACTATATCATTTTAAGACTGGTTTTACTGTACCCTATAAAGTGGCTCTATCTATTATGAACATGTTCCCACCATCTTGAACCCTGCCAGCTTGAACCACTGGTGGTACATGTATGACAGTCACACTTTCCTCGGAAGTGTGGGAAACTTGTACTACTGGTAGTACAAACAGATCTCATCACTTTTATTGGTCTTTTTACTAATAAACTAAAAAGCTGTGTGATAGGACAATTATGTAGCCCTGGTGGCTCAAGTTGCCCAGCAGCAAGACATATGAACTACAGCCCCAACACAAGTGTGTTAATCATCCCTTAGTGGTAAACATTTGGGTTAACACTCTATTTCAATTCTGCAGTAACCCAGTTATTGCTCTATAAGTAATTCAACTGTAGTTACCAGGATATCTAATCCACTGATGCCTCTGTGGACAGCTTTTCTTCCCCAAAACATTTATTTCTTAAAATCTGTCTAAAAAAGAAACAAACAAAAAAATACAATACCAGTTGACTTTACCTAATGTTTGAGATACAGGAACAAATTTCTATTCTATTATAAATATAACTTAAAAAATTAGAACCAATGGAAAAATTAACCCAAGATAAAAAACATTAATTTATAAAGATACTTTATAAAAGAGTGTGAGTTTTGTCTCTGAATACTGTCATAGAGATTTTGGAAATTTCATGATCCTAATCTATTTTCTTCTACTACAAACACACACACACACGCACAACTTAATAAAATTTTCAGACCTGAAGTTAGAATTAATAAATTATTGCATTCCTCATATCTAGGAATCACCTATGAGAACTCAGCGAAAAGTAAGAAGGGAAAGTTTTGTATCTCTAACTAGTGAGCAAATGCTTTTTTTCCTCTGCTAATAAATTACAGGGAAACTTGAACAGATGTCAGATTGGCATTCAAAACCTAAAATATAGCTGAAAAGCAAGTTATGACTAATACAAGGGGAAAAGATGAATGTCAGAAAACTTCAGTTTTTTTCTTTTTTCCTTTTTTTCAAACTTCAGATAAGCTCTTTAGCCTTAGGGTTCCTTTTACAGAGCCATAGAGTTCGGCTAGATGTCTTAACCCCCATTTAAATTGCGATCTCTCCTCATGAGTGGGGGTGTGAAAATGCATTTTAAGAGTATCAGTGTTTATGTTAATCTTAGCAAGAACTCCCTTTCTCCCAAATATGGTATGCACAAAACCTTACTGCCCTTTCTTCCACTGTTTTATTTGCACTGTTCGTAGCATGTGAAAGGCTGAAAGGCTCCTTGTCTTCATGGCAGTTCTATTTCATAGAGGAACTGCAGTTTCACTTAGGATATCAAAAAAGTTGCTTTCCTGATGAATTTCAAAAGAAACCTTAAAAATATAGACTGAAAATGAGCTCAGAGGGAGGCACAGGGAAAGAGAGCCAAAAGGAACACGGCACCAGTGTCAAAGACAGAGTGTGGGGCTGGTGAGATGGCTCAGTGGTCTAAAGCACCTACTTAGAACAAGCTTAACAAAGCACAGGGACTGCAGTTCAATCCCCCAGCACCACATGCCAGCCAGCCCCGCCCCCTGGTGGGCTGAGCTGGCCACACACACACACACACACACACACAAGTAAATAAAATTAAAAAAAAAAAAAAAGACAGAGTGTGGAAGGGCTTTCCTCCTGTCTAGGTGGCCTTGACATCCACAGTCCACAAATGCCATAAGACACTGAGTCTGAGACCTCTGGTCTCTACACCTTTTCATTCTAGTTCTTCTATCAAAGCTTCTTTCCTTGATACACATGAATCTATTTCTAAGATTATATTAAGACACTGCCAGGGGTGGTGATGCATACCTGTAATCTCAGCACTTGGGAAGCTGAAGCTGGGCTACAGTGTGAGTTCAAGGTCAGCCTGAATTACAGAGGAAAACCCTGCCTCAAAATGACCAAAATCAAAACAAAAATAGCAACAACAAAAAAACAAGAAAAAACTACTAATTCTTTAGCAACTGTCCAGTACTCACTGAAAAATTTTTTTTCTTCTTCAGCAGCTGAACTTACTCATCTAAACCTCCACATACCAACTTCTGGCTGGCCAGACAGCTCAGCAGTCTAAAGTACCTGCTTAGGCAAACTTAGGCAAGCACGCAGGGACTGCGGTTTGATCCCCAGTACCACATGCAGCGCCAGCTCCACCCCAGGGTGGGCTGAGTTGGCCACAAAAAAAAAGGAAAAAACAAAAAAACAAAAACAGATACCAACTTCTGATGTTCACTTTTCTACCCTAAAACCCATACAGTGCTACTATCAGCCCACAAAGTAAAGATTTAAGGTAATTCCTAATTAAATGTCTATCATCATGGGGCCTAGACAATATTCTAACTCAGTATTTGTTCAGCATACATTAATTATAAGATTAAGTATGCTAAAGTCATACTTCTAAGAAAGAGCTGTCTTCTTTGGTTTTGAGTGAGTTTAACTGCTATGAGAAAAAAAATAGACTGATTAAAACAAAAACATTTAAATCAATAGTCCCAAATTATCTACACTGACATTTATTTTTCCTATTTCTATACATACCCTATATTCCTCTATATAGCTTTATGTGACTTTCTTCTCCCTTTAAGGATTTTCTTGATTTTAATTCTATAAAAATATAACAAAGACAGGACAATATACACTATGTCCTTGGAAGTATTTCGAGATTGACACTAGGGCTGGGCAGGCAGCTCAACAGTGCAGCACCTGCCTAGCAAACACAAGACCCTAAGTTTGATTCCTGGTTACTTTAAAAAAGAAAAAAAAAAGTTATTCATATTTTAAAAATATTTTTTATTTAAAATTTTTTTTTCTCCATATTCCGTAGAAACTTAAAGTTTAACATATCAGTAGTAGATGGAAAATACCTGTTCCATGTTATGCCTAAGATGTTTGATATTCAGACAGATGGTGAAGTTAAACCCAACTGCATATGTTATAGGGTAATAAATAAGCTTCTCTTCTGGAGGGTTAACAACTTAAGTTTGTAGACCAAAAATTAGAGAAAAAGAAGGGCTGCAAGGACAGCCAACATTTTGGCCCTACCCTTTCAAGGTCAGTGAATACTCAGGACATAGGAGTACCTATATTGAAACATCATGTAACTCAGTTGTGTCCCAAATTTTCTAATCAAGGAGATTATGGGGCCACAGAGCAACATGATCGATGACGTAGAATGTGCCTAAGGAGAGTCACAGGGAAAGAAAACATTCTCTCAGGCTTTCACAGAAAGCAAAGTGGTCAAGCAATGGCCATGACTCATCCACATAGCTGACACTGACAAAGTTTGTGCAAAATGCGGTACAGGGTTACAGGATAAACCCTGAAGGGACTTGACTGACCTATCAGATACAAAAGTTACATTTCTTGTTATATAGGTCTTGCTTTATCTTGGTCTTAACAATCCAGCAGAAAAGTATAAAAATGAGGTATAAAAAGTAAAGCCATATTAATATGCTGAGCTGTGAAAGGCTCAAGTCAACTTCTGACATTGCCAGTCCTATGGATAACCCACTACTATTATGGACTACTGGACTATATTGGATTATTTTGCTGAATTCACATACCTACAATATTTAAATGGTAATGGAATACCCATCTCTAACAAAACTAAACAAAAAAAGAGGATACAAATGGATGAGTATTTTGCATCTGTATATACAAAATAGTTAGGATAGATATACAGCTACTTTCTCTTAATTCAATGAGAAGAAAGATTTCTACTACTAGTATTTGGACAGGATATCATGTCTGCATCTTGTACTATGAATAACCACTAAGAAGATAACAATATGCAATGTATTAATTATTGAAATTGTCCTATTAATTGGTTTTGAAACTGTCTCATTGCTGTTTCTCAATAAAATTAATAAAAGAAAAAGAGTTACATTAACAAATTTGAAACTATAAGTTATTTTTATATGTATTACCTCACCTAATCCCTAATTTCACTGCATAATTATGTGCCTGTTTAAGTTATTTAGTTATTTTAAATCTCATCAGCAAAATTCTGTATGTATCTAGCCTATATCACCATCTTCCTTTCTTCCTCCTCCTCCTCCTGTTCTTCCTCCTTCTCCTCTTGTTCCTCTCTGTCTTCGTCTCTCTCTCTCTCTCTCTGTCTCTCTCTCTGTCTCTCTCTCTGTCTCTCTCAGCAGTACGAGGCACTGAACTCAGGACCTACTGTGCTACTTTTTTTTTTTGATACAGGGTCTCACTAAATCACTAAGTTGGCTAGGCTTGAACTTGCAATTCTCTTGCCTCAGCTTCCAGACTGCTAGTATTATAGATGTGTGTTACCATGCCCAGCTTATACTTTCAATGTTGAAAAGGAAACAAAGTTTACAAGCAAAAGGAAAACATTATATTACCTGAAAGCATAATTATCAGTTTCATACCATAGTTACAGAAGACAAAATTCTAAATATATCACTTTGTGGGCTGGTGAGATCGCTCAGTGGACTAAGCGCCTATCTAGGCAAGTGCAGGGACTGGGGCTTGATCCCTGACACCACATGCTGCATGCTGGCCCTGTCCTCAGGCATGCTGATCCAGCCACTGAATCCAGGCGTGGTGGCACACACCTGAAATCCCAGCACTGGGGACACTAAAAACAGGAGGATCACTACGAGTCTGAGCTGCACAGTGAGACCCTGTACCAAGTACGTTTAAATAAATAAATAAATATGTCACTTTGTGAATTTAGCAAATTGATACATTTATATACATATATATATAGAGAGAGAGAGAGAGAGAGAGAGACAGACAGACAGACAGACAGACAGACACAGACAGAGAATTCATTTAGTTGAGTCCTATTTTCAAAGTAGACGTAACATCAAACTCCATAGAAAAGACAATAATTTATTTTCTTTTTCTTTCTTTTTTTTTTTTTTTTCAGTATTGGGGATGGAACTCAGGACCCTGCACTTGCCAGGCAAGCACTTATTCTACTGAGCTATCTCCCCAGCCCCCAACGATTTATTTTCAAGCCAAAAATAAAAGTTCATTTAAAATTAAAGAGGTCAATAACCTACATAAATTATTCTTTTCTAGTTTTTTATTTGAATTGATTTGACTGATCACACCTACTGTCTGAACAAATCCCCAAGTCACAGAGTCTTACCTATTTAGTTAATAAAGAATAAGAAAAAAATATCAGCTAATTTTGTTCTCGCATGGGAAGGTAAAAAAAATGTAGGCTATACGTAAAAAAATTTTCATATTGTTATTTACATTATGGTTAAGTATAGTAATTTTTACTTACATATATCTTTACCAAGCCTAATGAGAACTTCATAACCACAGTGTACTTGGAATGCAATGGTATATTTCACTAATTCCCTCAATTCAAAGAAAAAAGAAGCCTGTATTAGATAATGGGGAATGACACATGTATAACAAGAAAATTATTTCTTGGTCATTTGACCTTTAAAAAAAGTAGGTTTACTTTTTTTTTAAAAAAAGGTATTCAGAAACTTCCCTGAAAATTTTAAAAATAAC